GGGTGGGAGGGCCCAAGATATCTTCCTGCCTGAGTCAAAAGCAAGATTGTGCCACAGTTCCATATCCAGAAGCTGCCTAGACTAGAGTACCTGGGAGAAATATGTGAATCAACCCATCATGTTATTCTGCTAACATCTTATTGTATGATATCAGCTTGCCTATAGAGCATTTCTCCCTTCCACGCCTTCCTAGGTGATATCCCAATTGTCCAGCTGAATTTCATTGTGTTATCCCTGGAGGGTCCCTTCGACAGGGAGACGGTGGAAGGATGTGTCCGAGAGACCCTCCTGTCTTTCTCGCGGTCCATTGCCACCAAGCAGACAGTCGAGTTCACCTTCAAAGGAATTGGTGTCCTGATTATCCGAGACAACAAGGTGAAAATGAAGTTTTACAAAGATTTTCTTCAGACCATGGATGGAAGCGGGGCGCTCTTAAAAGCCCTTTCAAATGTAAGTTTGTTAGGCATTCATTATATTCTAGGATTAGATTGCATTTTTGTGGCATCTTAAGAAACATCTGCTAATACATTCAGTATGGCAGTGGAACCAAAATGACCAAATGATGGGTTCAAGCCGAATCAAGACAGCCATCAGTCTGGGATGCCTGATTTTGCATTTTTGCAGCAATTATGTATAATTAATATAAAATTTAAAAAATTAAAAACATAAAAATAAAATAATTAAATTAACATTGCATGTTTATTGTGTGTATAAATAGCGTGTTATAAGAGAATGAGAGTGGGAATGTGGTGTTTTTGGGTCTGGGGTGACTATATAAGTACATTCCTGTTCTGTGTGAGTACTAAAGGGAGGAAGACTCCATCCATCCATCCATCCATCCACCCATCCATCCATCCATCCATCCATCCATCCATCCATCCATCCTCTCTCATTTCTCAGCCATTCATCTACCTACCTACCTACCTACCTACCTACCTACCTACCTACAGACCTACCTATCATATCTGTCTGTCTGTCTGTCTAATCTACTACTTACATACATTACTTACTGAGTGTCTATGCTATTCAGTTACCAATGCTCTGAATGGCTTATAGCCACGAAAATATGTACATTGTGCGTGTGTAGCATGTCACCTTATTCATCATCATCTCTGCAGCTTCAAGGCTCCTCCACCTGTGCAGCCTTCAAGGCTTCTCCAGTTTCTCAGACTTGGATGTTGAAGGCACTTGTACAGTGTTTTCATAAAAGTCTTGTTTGGTGTCACTTTTTTATCTCCAGCCTTACTACCTTTAGTCTTCATACCAACCTACTTTTCAGGGTAGTTGTTGTAGGAATAATGTTATGTACCCTTCCTTGAACTTCTGGTTCAGAGTCAGGCATAACTCTGCCTGCCTACCTGCCTGTCTGTGTGATTGATTGATTGACTGATTATATGCCATCAAGTCAATGTCAACTCTTAGCGACCCCATAGTTAGACCCTCTCCAGGATGATGGTAAAACTCTAGCACAACTAACTATATATAAATGTTGGTGTGTATGACTGAGTTGTACTGCATTCCTCTTTTCTACAAGGGAATTAAGACTACAAGTATATAGAATAAAATAAATAAATAAATAAATAGTAATAAATAAAAATTGCATAAAACAATCAACCATTTAAATATGCAACCACAAAGGCACCAAAACTGGAATTAAAATGATTGGTTGATTGATTATGTGCCATCAAGTTGTTTTCGAC